CAGGCTGGGCCAGGCCCACCTCCAGGAGGTAGTCGGAGGCGTCATGCAGCAGCAGCACCAGGGACCCGATGCGCAGCAGGTTTGCGCTGTAGGAGAACACGATCAGGATGATGGTCACGAAGTGGTGTGCCACCTGCTCCTTGAAATCCTGCGGGAGACGGTGGGTCAGAGCAGGGATGAGTCTGGCGGGGGGGCACCCCACCAGGCTGGGGGCAGGCCCTCTCTGGGGGCTGGCTGGCTGGCAGGCATCTGTACCTTGTGGACTGTGGGTCCTCCCGCCTGAGGCACCAGAGGGGGGGGGTCTCAGGGTAGGGGGTGAAGCCATCCCTCCCTATGCGTGATTGGATCACAACTTCCCCCCCCTACCCCCAGCATCACTTCCCAGCCAGATTCTCCGCCCAGCCTCACCTTACGCTTAACATCAAAAGGCAGCGTGATCAGCAGTGAGACGTAGAAACTCAGCTCCAGGAGGTACCAATAATACAGGGCCGGTTTCAGGGGCTGTAGGGGCGTGGGGCAAGGTTAGCTGTGTGGGGGGGTCGAGGCTCGGGGGTGGCGGGGCATGGCTCAGGGCCCTCCTCGCTTGCTCAGAAGCAGGATCCTTGAATCCCAATGAGTGAAGAAGGTGTAAGCTCCCCGTCCCCGGAGGTAGTCAAGGGCCAGTGGTTTTGCAGCAGCTCCTGCTGGGAGGTTCCCGGTGTCTGGCCCCTCCCCATTCCGCAGGGGAGGCAAAAATACAGAGTGGAACTCGAAGGGGAGTCGTGTGATGTCCGCGGTTGGCTCTCCCGCCCCCGGCTGAAGGAACTCTAACCACCCCACCCCCCACCCCCAGCCTCCGAGCTCCACCTGCCACTCACCTGATTTGGGTAACTGTCCCAGCACATTGCCGGTGTCCACAGCCATGACTCCTGCAGGGACACGGGAGTCTGAGGCTGCCCAGAGGTCAGAGCCCAGAGCCCAGCCCTCTACCCCCCCGGGGGGGCCCTCCCCAGGGTTGCTCTCATTCTAGACCCAGAGCTGTGGGCTGCGGACCCCCAGCTCCGGTGCACAGCGTGTCCTCAAAAGGCACCTGAGCGGACGCTTTTGCAGGGGCTCCCTCTGCCCGAACCCCTCCGCACCCCCCGTCCAGGCCCAGTGCACCGCAAGGGCTTGTGGGATGGGTGGCGGGGCAGGCAAGCGGCCAGAAACACTCACGTGGTAGAGGATGGACAAGCCACCAAAGAAGGAGCACAGGTAGAAAGCAAACCTCCAGCTGCAGATGGGGAGGGAGCCCATGAGGCAGCCACCGGAGGAGGCCCGGGCTCCACCCCCCGCCCCGCACCCCCAGAGCCCCCGCCTCAGCCCCACCCCGGGCTTACCTGGCCTCGCAGAACTTCTTGGTCAGGCAGGGCCGGTCCTGGTTCCGGCGCCTCCGGAACCAGCGCTGGGTCTGCTGCAGTGTGAGGCCACACTGGGCCGCCAGGAGGGCCATCTGGGGCTGGGGAGAGGTGATGCGGGGGGAGTCACAGAGGCTTCCCGTCCATGTCCCAGGACAGATGAGACCCAGCTGTGCTCCCCCCTACCCTAGACCTCGCCTGTGGGATTGTCTGCCTATGGACATGGGGGGGTCCCCCCAAAACAGACAGTATGAAGATCAGCCCTGCTCACAGGAGAGGCAGGTGGCTGATGGGGACTGGGACTAAAAGCGGCTGGGGATGGGGCAGCCCCCCTAGAGGTTTTCCTATACCCTTCCAGAAGAGTCAGGTCTTACCCCCACCCCAGGCAGGTAGTTGAGACCTTGCCTTCCACCCCTACTGCAGAGGGAGGGTGACCACGGAGGGGGAAGGTCCCCTCTACCGAGAGCCACAGTACAGTACAAGTCTGCTGTGGTCGACGCCCCCCCAACCCCCAGCAGTCAGGCCTTCCTCTCTCACCAGCTCAGCAGAGACCTGCTCCCCACCCCCCCAGGCGCAGGATCTGCCCACTGGGACAGCTGGGCTGGCTGGTGGAGTGGGCGTAGGAGCGCTGTGGGGGCACAGAGGCTGCCCTGGGCTTTCCCTGTTCCTGACAACAGGCCCCATCCCACCCCCAGGCCCCATCCACACGCCCCCCCCCCACCTGCAGGCCGACGGGGATGGAGAGGGGCATCGGGGGGCTCTCACCTCCTTGGGCTTCCACCCTTCTGTGACGAAGTACTTCTCCAGAGTGGCATTGGGCTTCACCAGCCTCCTGGCATGATTGCGCACACCTAGCAACCGGCTCAGGGGCATGCCAACAAATCTGGGTGCAGGGGAGACAGAGCCTGTCAATCCAGGTGGGGAAACTGAGGCTCAGAGGGGCCAGGTCACACACTGGGCGCCTGGAGGGGTTGCCTGGCCGCTGCACTGGGACCAAACCTAAGAAAGGCAGCTGGGCGGCCGGTCTTCAGGGTGGGGATGTGGAGGTTAGTTTTCGGGGTCTCAGGCAGCTCCACTCAGTTCCAAACAGGAAGGAGAGACCCCTCACTGCTTGTCTCATGGTGGTCCGGGTCCTTGTCTGTCTCCTGCCAGGCTGGGGGGTCCCCACAGGCAGAAAGGAGCAGGGGCACTCCCACTCAGGCCTCCACTCAGGCCTCCCTTCTCCCAGTGTGGACATGTGGAGGGGCCCGGTCCCTGGCCAGTCATCATACGTCCCACTAGACCCCGCCCCCCAGAACTTCCTACGCACCAAACATCACCCTGCATTTGGGGAAACTGAGGCTCAGAGCAGCTCAGCAAGAAACTCCTTCCAGACTCAGTCATGATGGGGAGTGGGGGAGGAGGGGACTGTCATTTCTTGAGTGCTGACATCTGCCAAGCATGGGTCCAAGTGCACATTAGCTGCCGGCTCATTTAGCTCTATTGTCAAAGTCCCCATTGTCTTGATGGGCAAACTGAGGCCCAGACAGTTCAGAGAGATGCCCAAGGTTACACAGCGAGTGGGTAGCAGACTGGCCCAGGGTTTACTTCAAAATGGCGAGAACCTCTGCTTTCGACCCTGGAAAAGCTATCTCATCCCCATGGCCCTTTGAAAGGACACCTCTGGGATGTGAACACAACCCCCTACCTCTGATGAGGCCATTAATTAAATACACAACCCCCCACTCCAGGTTCCAGTAGTGAACCTGGGCGTAGTCTCACGTCCTCCCCCCCCACCCGCCGCAGGAAAGCTGGCGACTCGCCCTTCAAAGCCTGGCTGACTTGAGCCTCTTAGAATCCCTCAGGCAAAGCCTCAGTCCCAGATGACCTACCCTCTGTGTGACCATAGGCCTCCCTTGACCTCTGGGCCTCCATTTCCTAGTCTGTAAAATGGGGATAATAGTACCACCTCACGGGGTTGCCCCGAGAGCTAAGACGCATAAGCTGCTCAGAACAATGGTGGGCACAGAGTAGGCACTTAGAGGGTATCTGTTAAATAAATACAACCTCAGTGGGTATTCCTTGGGTCCCCCCGGGGTCCAGGCTGTATCCAGGGAGCCCAGACACCAGGAAGCTCCTCAGGAACCGGAGAGACAAAGCAAGATGCAGAATGCTTCCGTGTCCCTGTGGTCAGGGCAGGACAAAGCCAGGGACCCAAAGCAGAGGCTGAAGGGGGCGAAGGGCTCTGGGGAGTGGGGGAGGGACAGCAGAGGGGCCCTGCGGGCTTCCTGCAACCCAGCCTTGAAGGAACTGCAGAGGGGTGAGTGCAGAGGCCAGGTGGCCGCATAAGAGGTAGTGGACCTGCAGAGGGCGTGGGGAGGGAGGGAGGCGGGAGGGGGAACCTTGCGGGGGTGGCCGATCATGGGGGGCCAGCAGCAAAGGGGCCTGGCAGGGCAGGTCTGAAAGCTTTGACTACAGGGCTGGTCAGGTGGGAAGGGTGGGGCTACCTGGGACCAGGGAAGGGACGCCAGGAGAGATGTTCTGGCCCAGGAGACAGCCAGCCAGGGAAAGAGGAGGAGACCCAGTTTGAAGCAGTGTCTGGGTCCCATAAGAAATGACTGAAAATCTACAGGGTTTGGCAATCAGGTTGCTGGGAACCTGTGGGGGGTGGTGGTGACATATATTCGGGGGGGGGGGGCAGCACCAGGCTGCAAGAGGCTGGGGATGGGGACAGGGGAAGGGGAGGCAGGGCTAGTTTAGGCACAAAAGGGGAGGCCAGAGTGCTTTTGCTCCTTCCTTTGGCTACAGAGGGAGGAGGGAAAGTGTTAGGAGCCAGGAGGGAGGGGTGGAGAGGGTGAGGTGGGGGGTGAGAGAGGGATAGTAGGGGGCTGATGGAAGGATGGCACGGGGAG